GTGTGTGTGTGTGTGAGTGTGTGAGTGTGTGAGTGAGTGAGTGAGAGAGTGAGAGAGAGAGAGAGAGAGGACAGGCAGACAGACTGACTGACCAGGAGGGCTGCAGTAAAATTGTTCTCTGCACTCCGGGCTTGTCAATATTTCCTCTGGAGCTGTGTCAAATATGACAGAGACCTTTTTTTTTATCTTCCCTTCACCTGAATGTTATTTCTTTTCTTTTTAAAGTCAGTCTCTCTCTCTCTCTCTCTCTCTCTCTCTCTCTCTTTCTTTGTGCTTGTCAAATTGTTTTCTTTTTTGCCCTCCACTCCTGTATTGGCAGAGAAGACATCTGTATTAAAAGGGCCTAGCTGGAGGTGATTGTTTTTCAGGAGCACCATCACAGATTTTGTTGTCAACTTTCCAGCAAAGCTTTTAAAATGGAAATTGCGGCGAATCGTTTACTCGTTCGATTCCCCTCAAGGCCAGAAACTCGGGAAGCTGTTTCACCATGCACTCTCAGCACATAACATGGGAGTATTTGAGCATAAAAAAAACATATTGCTGGTGTGTGTTCATGATAGCAAAACATGAAAACGAGTAGAGTGACATTCTAAATAAAAGACTACTATTAAAGGAAGGTTACAATATCAGCACCATCTGTGACTGACCATTAAATGCTAAGTACACACATATGTAAAATATGTCAAGGCATGTATTTTATATTCAGCTAGTAGTTGGAGTACGCCACACACTCATACAGAGGGCCCTGCTGTGTGTGTTCTTGTCAGAAGGCTGTAAATAACTTCAGCAGCAGATGGCAAACCAGACCAGCTTCGCTTGCCATGGAGCCGCCAGTGAATTCTGGGGCTGAATGTGTGTTTGTGTATGTTTGTCCTTGTGTCTGTGACCGTTTTTCCTCTTTCCTGTTTCAATAATATTAGATGGTCAGCAGTGGTTTTGGCACCATCCTCTTGATGGCATTGAACTGTAATTGGACCGCACCCTGTTTTTTTTTCGTAGTCCCTTAAAATAGAAATGTTTTTCGTTTTTGCTAGCAGTGCTATTTTATTTTAATAATAAAAAAAAAGTTTTTGATATAAAACGGCCATAAGTGAAAATTAATTATTCTATTCAGCAAGGATGTTTAAACTGATTAAAAGTGACAGTAAAGACATTTATAATGTTACAAAAAAAAGTTTTGAACTTTGTTCATCAAAGAATACTGAAAAAAATATATCATGGTTTCCACAAAAATATTAAGCAGCACAACATTTTTATTAAAATAAGAAATGTTTCTTTTGCACTGAACCAAAATATTAGGATCATTTCATATTAGAAAAATTCAGCTTTGCCATCACAGGAAATTACATGTTAAAAAAGTTATTTTAAATGGTAACATTTCACGAAATTTCGGTTTTTATCAAATAAATGTAGTGCATAGCATAAGAGTGTTCTCTCAAAAGCTTCCAAAAAATCTTACCAACCCCAAACTTTTGAACAGTGGGGTATTTGTAAATTAATCATTTTATTTTAGACTTATTGTGCAGCATTGGCCGATCCCAGAACACAGGTAATCATTTATAATGAGTATGTCTTGTTTAGCCAGACTGATTTGTTGCTGGTTTGAAAACTTTGTATGGTGACAACATTTTCTCACCCGCTGGCTACTGATGTTAGTGGTTCCTGGTTCGAAACCAGCGGGTTTGTGAGTGAAGCCAAATTTTCTGTCCCAAAACTGCCTGGTGGAAACGCCAAAGGATAGGTGGGCCAGATTGGGCATTTGCTCCAACTCCACAATTTGCACCATATCTGTGGGAAAAGGGGACATGGAATCCCAGCCTCTGGCTAACAGGAAACCGGAGATATAAAGCCACTTAACAAAGTTTTTCTGGGCTCTAACGAAACGAATGACAAAACGAATGACCTGGAGATGCCAAACATGATGGCTGTGGTGTGGTGAAGTGGTTGAGAATGAGGGTTGATAAGCAGAATGCTACTGTTTCAACACTTGATATTTTGTGCTTAAGACTTTTTTTTTTTTTTTTTTTTTTAAACCCAGGAACGTT